ACACACACACACACACACACACACACACACACACACACACACACACACACATTCCCTTCCCAACTCTCCTCTTATTGTTCCTCTATCCACCTCGCATAAATTACAGCCTCAACCCCACCCCCCAACCCCAAAGTCGTGCAATGTATGTTGCCACAATACATGTTGTACTTGCAAGCCCCACCAGGCCTTTTCGTACATGTGCTGTACCCTTCTGTTGTAAATAGTCCCCCATTCGATTTTCTCTCCTCAAGATACCACATCCAGCCCCACTTTTGTATAATCAAAGCTAGAGGCTCCCCATCGTTGTATTTTTGTAGTTGGTAACACCCTCCTACCCTGAATGAAAAAGGAAAAGAAAAGAAAGTCTTCTCCCTTTCTCCACTCCCTCTCTTCCCAAAACCCCCTTTTTCAAAACAAAAAACAAAAATCAAAAACAACCCCAAAGACAAATCCAACCAGTCAAAAGAAATACGAACTCTGTCGATCTTCCCCAACCCTGAACAATTAAAAAATGAAGGTCATTTAAAGGTCAAAAGATGAACCGGTACGAATCCTGTCTTAGAGTTAGAGTGTAGACGCTCGTTACAATAGATATTACAGTCGTCGTTGAACTACAAGGAACGTATTCATAATCTCTTTACCGCAGTGCTAGTTTGATACAACATCAGGAAGCTCACATTCTTTTCTTTTTTTTTTTCAATGTGGCCTTTTTTATTCCTTATTTCCCGTCGATATTTTCGACAAAGAAAGTGAAGCTTCTACGTGTATAAATGGCACATAGAAGACCTCCACCTTCTTTAACATGCCATCTGCTGGCAGGGCATATACTCAAAGGGTACTGGATAAACAAAATTAGCAAAAGCAACAATAACAACACATAAACAACAACAACAACAAACAACAACAAAAACAACAACAAAAACAACAGTAACATCAACATCAATATCAACAAGAGCAAGAACAACAACAGTAACAACAAGATAATCACGTAGCAGAGCTGGAAACATTGATTCAGTACATTAATGACGCAATCAGCGCAGCAAAGTAAATGGATTATGAATACTGTTCCGGTTCTACTTTTGTATTCGTCTATCGTAGTAGTATGTCATGTCTAGAGTGTCTTGCTCAAGCTAGAAGTAGATGGAACTGTGTCGTATACATTATACATGCTCACTAATGATCTTTACTTGAATATCGTTTTGCCTTTCTTCATGTTATATCTATTGCTGCGTGAATGCCTATGCCAATAATGTGCTTTTTCAAACTCGACAGCATTGCTTCCAGAGCGCCATTATTATGCATTTGTGTCTTTAGAAAATCAGTTTCAGATACGCTGTCTCGTTATAGATTATAAATGTTCTGCTTAATTAATCAATTGCAAGGTGCAAAGAAGAAGTATTTGAATTATAATAATTATCACATAAAGTAATAGTTAATGCTGCATTGATCAATTATTTGCTTAAACTCTGTGTTGGCCTATCCGCGGTACTGACAGTTTTAAAAATAGCTATTGCCTCAGTAATGCTTTTGCCAAACGTTGCTTTTATTTGATACACATTCTCGTTTACATTCATTCCCATGTATGTTTTTGAGAAGGAAAAGGCAAAAATGAAAGGTTAATGTCGGGGGTGGGTTAATTATAAAAAAGAATTGGACCTCTAAGTTTGAATTGTTTTAATGCATACAAAGTTCAGTCTTGTCTTTCCGTTTATGTACAAAATATAGCTATGCAAAAAAGGAGTTCGCGAAGCAAGTGGAAAAAACAATAGCCTTCAAGACTGTCTCTCCGTATCTTTTAAAATGGATTGGATACCCTGGAACTGTCGTGTCTGACTTCAATTTGTGAATTGTAACAACAAAATGCTGGACTCAGGATGAAACAAAACAGTATTACCTTCAAGAAAACACAGCCCTTTTTCAAAACAGTTATCGCTTTTCCTGATTTGAACGATTTAACCATTTGCTTCCAATAGGAAGCTCCCAGCCAACCGGAACCGGAACCAGAACCTGAGGTTTGTGGGGGGGGAAACCCATCTCAGTACTGTTTGCAGCACTTCCGGGTCATGAGCCGTCCTTTTGGCCTCGTGTTATGTCTAGCCGTGTCATGCACCCGCGAGTTGTTTTTCCCCCGCTTCAAAGAAGAATGACCAGTAGTAGTAGAACCAGATACTCTGTCACAGACTTCCTGCTGTATTGTTTGCTCATCCCTGCAACACTATCTGAAGGTGTACCGAATTTTTCAGCTTGAAAAATTGGTGTACCTGCACATTTAGTTTGAGAACGAATCCAAACTTTCGTGTTGTGCACATTAGATTTTAGGCATTCCAGTCCCTCTTGTGAAAAGTTTCTAAAGGGAAAACTGATATGTTTTTGTGACCCCAGAACTGAACACGCTTACATTATGTTTTTTGTTTTCGTTATTTTTGGCAGTTTTTTTTTTTTTTATTTATTTTACAATAGTGTGCTTGACAGCTATAACTGCAGACTGGCCACTGAAAGATTCCTATGAAAATGAGCGCTTAGTACATTCAGGGGTTTTGTTGGGGTTTTTGGGGGTTTTTTAAATAGAGGGGGGACGAGCGAGCCGAAACGACATGCCAGAATATAACCACACACGGAGGTATTTTATTTTATCATAAAGAGGATTGCAGTGGATCCTTTTGCATTTTGGGGTGTGGTGGCTACAGTTCAAAGGTCACAATTTACAGTCGTATGTTCCCAGATTTGTTTGCAAATGGCTTTGTATTAGAGCACACCCCAGCATACGATATCTTAGTTTAGAGTATAAGTGTTTGTCCTTTTTGTGTAGAGTGGATGTTTTTGTATGTCAGTTTGAATATTGTGTGTGCATGTTTGTGTTTCATGGGTGTGAATCTGTCGGGCCTACGTGTGAAGTGCTCGCATGTGTGAGTGTATGTGTACATGCGTTTGAAAGAGAGAAAGAGAGAGAGAGGGGGGAGAGAGAGAGA